GTGTTACGAGGTTCGTCGATACTGAGGCTTGTAAGAGAGAACTCGAAAAAAGCGAGATTAGACTGAGGCGTTAAAAGTAGGGACGTCTGAGCCGGGACAGCAAAGGATTGATACAGGAGTGATTATGGGAGAGGTAACCACAGAGGTGGGTGTAGAAGATGGGATACCAGAAGTGGGGGACGTTTTGAAACACGGGAAAAGAAACACGTGGGGTCTCCCTTGGAGGGGGGAGATGAGAAATGCCATGGCATAAGGGAGACCTTCTGGTCTCTTTGAGGTAACGGATTTTCCCCGCTCTTTTTTAAATAGACCTGACAACGGCGAGAGTACGAAGGGTGAGCCTCATGACAGTTAAGGCAAGAGGGAGATCGATTGCAAGACGTATTAGAAATGGTCATGGGCCCCCACAGCGGGCATTCGGCGATAGATCTGCAATATTTCGCTGGATGGCCAAATGCCACAATTTTCTACACTGTTGTGGTGTAGGGATCACCTTTCGAACTTGTAACCGATTGTCCTGCTATATAAACGGAGGAGGGGGAGTTCTCGGCTGTCAAAAGTTAAACGAGCCACATTGCTAGGGTATCGTCTCCGCCCACGGGCAGGAAGAACGTAAGTGTCTACCTTGAGGATTGGGAGATCTTGGAGTTCCAGCTGTTCTAGAATGTCGGTGCCACATGTCTGGAAATTTGTTGAACTATGGTATGGGGCAGAATAACGGTACCACTACAAGAATTGAGGGGAAAGATGTTTTTTTAAGGGTGACAGGAACAGTATCTATATGGAAAGACGAGAGAGCTCACCCAGCCTGGGTAGCATTCTGTACGGTAATGATGCGCGTACCGCTCTTAAGAGCATGAAAAGAAATATCTTTACCAACATGGCGTAGGAGTGCCTTGCCAATACTATGGGGCAGAAAGATAGGCAGTAGAGGAAGTTGGTCGTAAAGTGAAGAATTTAGTCCACTGTTCAGTCTGAAACTGAGCGTGGAAAGGTAGTGAAGGACGTGTCGATCGTTTCTGAGAAGAACGAGAAGGTGAAGGTGGAAAGTATCATCAGCAGGTAATTGTCGTTGACGTTTAGGCGTGGGACCAGAGTTGGTCCGACGTGGAAGGGGTGGGGCGATTTGAAAATTGCCGCACCGTAGAGGGAGAGCCGGGAAAGCATAGCCAGAGGAGAGCGAAGGTCTGATAAATCGAAGGAGTCAGTCGAGGCCTCAGTACCTGAAGCGGGTGAGGAAACAGCACCGGCCAATAGGTACAGAGGCATGAGGAATGTCTGAAGAGTGGTCCAAAGTTTGAGGCGGGGTCAGAACGGGGTGCGGTATCAAGAAGGGCCCGGGGTACCAGGTTCATGGACTAGGGCTGCCCATGGTTAGGTTACTTTTTTTCTTTTTGTTTTTAAGAAAAAAAAAGAAAGAAGAAAAGAAAATAAAAATAAAAAAAAGAAAAAAAAGGGGGGACCGGGGGGGGATAGTTCCTGGGAGGAATGAAAGGGCCAGAAATCTCCCTCCGCGCCCAAGAGACTCGACAACCGCTAGTAGCGCAGAGCAGCATGGAACCCGTGCCATACCCTACCCTTCATGCCAGTAAACCACAATCTGGGATAGCAACCTCACATCTGCCGAGCTACCTCGGTGGACAAAAGAGAGGGCGGCCGGATATCCGCCACAAAGCATACCTCCTTCAGCCACCACCCCCGGAAATCCGAAAGGTGGCTTCCAGAGATACACCCGTCGCCCAAAAGACACCCAAAAGCTACTCCGGGATACCGGAGAGGGATCGGGACATTTCCCCAGGCAATCCAGATTCCACAGCAAACTACGCCACCGCCAAGAAACCTCAACGGAATGGATGGACCCCGGTGTCCTTTCCCCTACCAGGAACTAGCGCGCCTGTGGAGAAATCACGAAGGCTAAAAAAAGAAGGGCAAAGGGGGGTGAGGAGAGGAGGGAATGAAAAAGGGAGGATGGGATAGGGGAGGGGAAAAGGGGGTATTAGTTCGGTCTGAGGAAGAAGACCGACAGGGCTAATTCCTCAGACCAAGAGCCTCTTCACCACGCCAAGGAGCCCCCCTGAAGAGGAAATTTCAATTATCCCCAAAGGATTAAAAAGTTCACCCTTTTTTAAATTTAAAATGGATAGTTTGTTATAAAAAAATAA